GGGGGGGCGTGGGATCGGCGGATGCTGACCACGGTGCCCCCCTCCACCAGCGGCTGGCACCTCACCAGGGATGGAGGCTGCAGCCGAGGGCGGCTGGCGTGGCAATACCCAGGGCAGGGGCAGAAAGGGGGAGGATCATCTAGGGCAGCAGGCACCTAGGAGGGTCTGCCTCCTGTTATCTCCCCTGTGCTGCCTGTATTTAGCAAACCCAGCTCTTCTCCAGCATTTCAGGTGCTGAAGAGCAGGTTGTCCCACACCAGTGTCCAAGCTGGAGGAAAAAAAAAAAGAAAAGGGAGGAGCCTACCTGCCTGCCAGGCGGCTCCCAGGAGCAGGGATGCTCTCCACCCCTGCTTCCTACCTCCTGCACCTCCACCCAACTCTGCCTCCGCAGCTCTGAGCTCTCGGGGGGCCAGGAGCACCTTTCTCTGGGCTTTGTAGGCGGTGGGGCGCCGGGGAGCCCTTGGTGGGGCCGTACAAGCCGGCCTGTGCTGAGCAAAACAGTGTTTATCTCTGCTCCAGCTGCCTCCGCTTCCTTCCTGCCGGTGCCGCTGGGTTTTGGAGACACCCGGCCGGGCTGAGCGTCCCCGTAGGCAGGAAGAGGCGTGAAGGATGTGCGTGATGGAGCGAGATAAAACAGCACCACGGCTTCTCCCCTTTGCAGTTCAACAGCCTGGGCTGACCCCCTCACGTCCCCCAGCCCTCCCCTGCCCGAGGGTCCCTCCTCCATCACCATCACCTCCGGGCTCCCCCAGCCCCACAGGCTTCCCACGGCGCTTTCCCACCCTGCTCACCCTTACCCGGCACCAACCTGCAGCCACTTTCTCTCCCCCTCTGACCTGCCACTTTCCCTTGCTACCTCCATCCTCGGAGGCTGCCACCTCCTTCCCTGCTCCAGCCATGGTCCAAAAGCCAACCCCCTTCCCCTCCCTCATATCCCTCCTGCCGATCGCTGTGAAACATCTCTCCCCCTTTCCCTCCCTGGCACGTGCTCCTGGGAGAGCCTGGCCCACACTCAGCTCTCCCGTGTCCTCCCCAATAAAGAGAGGTGTCTGGTGTTTTCCTGCCAGCTTGGAGCTATGGGATGCTTCCCCCTGGCTGCTGCCTGCCCAGGCTCACCCTCTCCTGTGCACACCCTGCAGGGTGAGGAGTGCCCGGCCGGGATTGGGGGGTTGTGTGTCTGCAGCAGGGGATGGGGCTGAGTTGGAGGGAAGGGGGCTGCGGGGCTTCGGGGGCCACCAGTGGGGTCCTGTCCTCCGCCCCAGCACTCACGCCGCGACAGCTCTCCCTACACAGGGGAGCTGGAGGTCAAGGGATGGGAGAAGGAGGATTTCAGGCACAGGTCCTGGTGGGAAGGAGGTCAGGGAGGGTACAGGAGGGGGTTTGTGGGGGAAGGCGCCCCGGGGGGGGCTATGCCCAGCCGGGGGACGGAGGCCAACACTAGGAATAGGCAGCCTGGTTGGCACCAGACTTGACGATGGTGATGACGCTGGCGGTGGCCACCTTGGCGGGGGTCCCGTGGGTGGCCACGGTGCGGGCGAAGCCCTGGAGGGCCTCATACTTGCCACGGAGGGTGTCAAGCTCCAAGCGCATGGCAGCGTTCTCCCGGGCCAGCTTGTCCACCTCCCACTCCAGCTCCATCTTCTGCTTCTGCAGCTCTTCCTTCTGGCAGACGCGCTTCACCCGGCAGCTGGCAGCATAACCTCGGTTCTTCAGCGTCCGCCGGCGCTGCTTCAGCCTTGCCACCTCCTCCTTGGAGAGGCCCCGCAGGTGGTGATTGAGCTCCCGCACCGACAGCCCCATCAGCTCCTCGTCTGACAGCAGCGGCGTGTTCTCCCCCAGCTCCCGCTTCACCTGCCGGAGAGAGGGGCGGTCACCCGAGACCCCCCCGGAACCAGACCCTTCCCCCCGGTCTTGCTTGGTGCTCACCTTCAGGGCCTTGCTGGAGAGTGGGTCCGCAGCCATCCTTGCTTCACAGTAGCCCTGCCGAGCAGCCAGGAGAAAAGCTGGTTACTGCCTGCCCGAGCACCTCACCTCAGCACACAGGGCTCCGGTCCCGCTGGCCCCCTGCCCGGTGCCCACATCTCCCCCACTGGCCCCTATGACTCATTCTTACTCCTTTAAAAATTACGTAGTAGTAGTAATAATAATAATAACAGTAATAACGACTGCGAAGAAGAAGAAGGGAGAAAGGCTGGACCACCCATCCCTCCCTTCATCCCACCCCGAGGGGGGTCGGGATGCTGCTGTGTGCCCAGGGGACCCGAAACGCCCCAGCCTGGCTGCCGGGTGGCCCAGGCTTCCCCCTGGGGAGGAAACGGGGGCGAGATCCGCCCGAGGCTGAAAAGAAAGTAAAAAGCAGGAGCAGCAGCCGCCCCACGGGGCGAAACCACCCGGCGGGGACCGGCGGCGGAGATGCCACCCCTTCGTCCCCCTGCCCGGCGGGAGAGGGCACGGCGGCTCCCGGGGCAAGGCTCCGGGGGTGAAGGGTCGGGGCGGCGACAACGCGGCGTGAAGCGGGCGAGAAGCGGCCTCCCCTCTCTCCCCCCCGCCCCGCCGGTGATTCAGCAGCGCAGGGGGGAAAAGGCACCCGAGCAGCGCCTGTCCCCTCGCCGGTGGCCGGTGCCGGGGTTCGGAGAGAAGGCCGGGAGCCCCGGGGCCGCTTCTACCCGCCTCGGGGAGCCCCCCATCCCTCCCCATCCCCGGAGGAGCGGGGCCGGGAGCGCCCGGCGGGGAGGCGAGGGGCTGGAGGGGGGCGGCGGGAAGGTGGAGCCGGGGCGGCTGGAAGCTGATGCAATCCGGGCCGGGGAGCACAAACCGGGGGAGCGGCGGCGGCGGCGGGGGCTCCCTCCGGGCCCAGGCCCCGCCTCCGGGGGGGCGC